ATGTAGGAAATAGCAGATCTTAAAGTGAAATGGAAACCTTCTTTTAAGGGTAAAAACTCATTCAATTTTATGTCTTACAGGGTTTATACTCAATTCAATATTGTATAACTGTATTAATTCAACTATGAACCTAAAAATTTATAGCCACTTTTGAAAGAGATGTATCTTTGCTCTGGAAATTGTTATTGAGTATGTCAATTGTGTTGTAATGATATGCTTCTTCTAAGTATGTTGTTATTAAATAAATCATTTTTAAAAATTAAAAAAAAATAATTAAAAAATATTATTTTTATTTTGTGTGTATGAGTGTACTGCCTGCATGTATGTAAATGCACCTGTGTTGTGGATGTGAGTGGAGGTCAGAAGAGGGTTTCAGATCCCCTGGAACTGGAATTGTGGACAGTTGTCAGTTGCCATGTGAGTGCTGGGAATTGAACCTAGGTCCTCTGAAAGAGCAGTCAGTGTTCTTAGCCACTGAGCCATCTTCCAGCCCCATAAATGAAAACTCTTTATTGCAAAATCTTTTTAATATGTGCTTAAAAGTTCATTCGTAAGTAAATTTGTATGTTTTATATCTCTCTGCAACTGTTTAGGTAAGACCTTAAGAAAAAAAAACCTTAAAAACACTAAAATGCTGAATTAAAGTAGATAAAAATCGAAATATTGCCATGTATGAGTTATATAGTGCTGATAAGACTCTTCTACCCATTGAAAATAATTCAAATTTTTAGTACATCATATTTTTATTGATTTGAATAAAATTTGGTTATAAAGCCTTAAAGAACAGTCAGGCAATGTTGTGTACAACTTTAACCCCAGCACTCAGGAGGCAGAAGCAGGGGGATCTAAGTGAGATGGAGGCCAGCCTGGTCTACATAGGGAGAGCTTTAGGTCAGCTGGAGATAAAGTGAGATCCTGTCTCAAAAAACCAAGAACAAACAACAAAAACAAAAACTCTAAGTACAAAAATTGAAACAATGTAATCTTTAAATCTTTAGAATAAGTCACAAGATGTTTAAATTTGAGAATAAGTTCAATTTCCAAATGTGCAATTACAGAAGTGGATTTATATCATTACATCAGATTCAGGAGTAAGTTTTAAATAAAAAAAAATTTTTTTTTAACAGTAGCAATATTATTATACCACTAAGCTAACACAGGTAAAAAGTATTTGCTTTTAGTTAGGGACTAGGTGTAAATAGAGAAGTAGACTGACGTAAGTCTAAGTCTAAGGCTACACTTGAGAAAAAGAAAACAGAGCTGTACAAGAGGTCTACTACAACTTTTTCAATTTTTTTTCTCCCCTTTAGTCTTTTTGAGACACGGTCTCCCTGTAGCCACAACTGGCCTGGATTCAGGCTGGCTTTGAATTCACAGAAATCTGCCTGCCTCTGCCTCACAAGTGATGGGATTAAAGGTTTGTGCCACCATGCCCAGATTAACTTTTTAAATTTTTATAGAAAAGAAATTGGTTAGCTAAATCAGCAAAGAAAGACAGCCAGATTCATGTCTAGATATTACCAGGGGTATGGAGCCTCGAAGAACTTGTGATAATCCTATAGTCTTAACAGACAGAAATCAAAGGTGCTAAACAAAGGAGGTGCCAATTCAGTATTCACTGAAGTAGTGCATGAGGATTCTAGAAGTAAATTAATTAAACTTCAGTTCAGTTAAACTTTGGTAATGCAAGTTATAATATGATAACAGTCTTCTAGATTAAGCAATTTTTTTTAAGGATTTCCATTTTAAGCTTATGTAATTACGATTCTATGAATATAAGTTCCAACTTGATTGGAAAAGCCCTCAGTTCTGAAGTACGCAAGCAGAGAACTCATTCCAATAGTTTTCTGATGTTCAAAGTATGTATTAGTGAGACCCATTTATGTTTTTGTTATGCTGATCCTAGTGGCTTACACCTTTAACTCAGAACTTGCAAGGCAGAAGCAAGATCTCTATGAGTCTACATAGAGAGCTCCAGGCTAGCCAGTGCAGGTTACACAGTGAGACCCTGTCTTAAAAAAAAAAAAAAAAAGGTACTAATTCTTTTCTTAGGCAGAGGTTTATTTTTATTTATTAATTATTTATTTTTGACAGTACAGAAATTGAACCTAGGCACACATGAGGCAAATGTTCTACTACTGAGCTATTGCTCCAGCCCTCTTAGTTTTTAGAACAGGGCTGTAACTAACAGTGAGGGCTTTTAAAAAAATTTCCTAATACACAATTTTTTTAAGTTTTTATATTTTAACCAACTTCAACAAGACTGACAACAGTAAGCAGAAAGTGGAGCTTTAAAATAAGTTCTCACACTCATTCAAACCAAATATTGCCAGATAAGCAAAAAAATCTAGGTGAAGATATGACAATAAACAAAATGTGCAAATTTAATGGTTGAAGAAAAAAAAAAGAAAATAGATTAGAGGAAACCTTTGGAAAATCTGAAGCTGCATATTAATTAGCTTACATAATAGTCTTATATCAAAGTTAACTTTCCTAAGTATGATTATTTTATTGTGGGAACAAAGGAAAACTATGTTTCTGTTCCTAGGAGAGAGACATTGACATATTTGGGGTGAATTTTTATGGTAACTGCAGTACATTTTTAAATGTTTTGGAGAAAAAAATTTGTATGCATACAGATTGCTCACTAGGGGCAATGAAGAAAAACCTTTATAAAAGAGGTTAAAAATAGGTTAAAAAAAAAAAAACCAAAACACAGAGTCAGACAAGGGAAAAGTTGTTGGTCAGGATAGTCCAAGAGACAACCAAAATAACACAGGCTATTGCCATAGCCCTCATTTCCTCCCATACTTGAAGGTAAGAAGGCCCTATTGCTGACATCAGGCAATACTTTGGACACAGGACTTGGAGCAATTGAACTGGAAGCCTCTTCCCTGAAGACTAGCTCTCATGGTAACAGAGGATACTAATACAAGTTGCCAAGGGGAAAAAAAACCAATCAATGGTCTTATCCAGCTGTAAAGTCTAACAGCTGGCCCAGCAATCTATCACTATTGGTGCAGCAGTGGGATTTTTATCTTGGGGGTACTCAACAGCTGTCTAATTGGAATTAAGGACTGTTGAATGGGAGGGAACTCATGTGTGGTGCTTACTGTAAACATAACCAAATACACATGGCTGAGAGGTCATAGATTCTAGAAAAAAATGTACTTTTGCCACATCCCTAGACCGATAAAATTTCCTTTTTTCTAAAAAATGCATCCTCATATTTATAGAGTAGTGTACCTTTCACCCCTAATCAAAGAAGTTTCTTTTTGCAATAGATGGAGACTATTACAGAGTTCCAGAACTGGTCAAACATAGAGAATAAGTGTCCCTGCGATGCTTAACCCTAAGTGACACGTCTTTGATGCAACCTCTACACATAGGATGAATGCATCTCTCCACTCTCACTAGAGAAGTTTCTTTATGCAACAGACAATGATTAACACTAAAACGCATAATTGGCCAATGTGCAGCAAACAAGAGGTTGCAGTGTCCTGAATAGGACACTTATGAACTCTCAGTAATGGTGACAGGATGTACAAGTCCTATGCAAGCTCAAACCAGAGAAAATTCCAGTCTAGACATGGGAAAGTGGGTAAGAAATCTCAATCCAACCCAAGGATCTTTTGGCAACTGATGGCTGCTGGGAGGAGAAAGACAGTGTTTTACAGCAATGGGGCTCTTGGTGGGCCTGGTAGATGGAACCACACTGAAAGACACGTGGGGACAAATATCAGACTCTATAGGCCATATTGTGTGTGTGTGTGTGGTATGTACAATAAATTGGGTAGGGGCACTGGGGGGAAGTGATCACAATACCACCAAACTATATTGTAAGATGGTATAATAATTAAAAGCAAAACAAACCCTTAAAGGAAAATCTTTTTTAAAAGATCAATACAGGGGCTGGAGAGATGGCTCAGTGGTTAAGAGCACTGACTGCTCTTGCAGAGGACCCGGGTTCGATTCCCAGCACCCACATGGAGGCTATGAACCGTCCTTTACTCCAGTTCCAGGGGAATCCGAAGCCCTCCTCTGATCTCCGCAGCATTGCACGTCATGGGTGCACTCATATACATGCAGGCAATACACTCGTACACATAAAATAATTTAAAAAAAAGATTAATACATTAGTGGGGAAATGGTTTGCTTTAGAAGAGAAATAAAAAGAAAAAAAGGAAGAGATGGAGCAATATTTTGGGATTATACTTCATCATTGGTCATGCTCTGCAGCTTAGAGTAGGTTTGGTTTCTCTGATCTCAGAGATTATGCTTTTTTAAGCATATGATAGTGATATATCAGGTACTTTGTACTATGAGTTAGAAAAATTTAGAATTCTGATTTTCTCCATGACTTATGGGCTCTGACTTTTCATGTCATACTTAACAAGGTATGAAATATTCAATGTACATTGCTAGTTAAGAGTCAAAGGACATAAAACCTGAATGTTTCCAAATAAAAGCTCAAAAATAAAAACTATCATGACCACGGGTTTTAATATTGTGAATGTTTTTTAGCTTTCTGATATTTTAACTAACTGCAACATTTGTTAACTATAGCATGTGATATCAACTATAATACCAAATGTAAGAATGCTAAAAGACAGTATAATATGGTTTAAATTCTATACTAAAAATAGAAAAACATGGTATCTTTTAAAAGCAATTATCAACATTGAAAATTATTTTTATCATCTAGTCCAAATGGTACTTAAACAGAATACATTTATTTTTGGTAAGTGAAATTTTGTCTTACCTTTTTAATAGGTGATGTGGGTGTCCCTTGACTCAAAGACAGAGTAGGTGTTGTGACAGCTACAGGAGCTGCTTGTGTGGTGGAAGTGTGGGTATTAGCTACAGAGGTGACGGGTTTTGTCTTATCTAGCAAAAAAAAAACAAAAAATTGAGAGTTAAGATTCTACAGGAATTTGGTTTCAATGCCTGTCTATGCATATTACTATCACTTAAAAAAAAAACATTTATTTAGGGGCTGGAGAGATGGCTCAGTGGTTAAGAACACTAGCTGTTCCTGCAGAAGACCTGGGTTGAATGAATGGCAACTAACAACCATAACTCCAGCTCCAGGGGACCCGACAGCCTCTTCTGACCTCCACGAGCATTGCATGACATGGGTGCACTTAACTACATGCTGGCAATATACACAAACACATTTAAAAAAAATCCATTTATTATTTTTTGTTTTATGTGTATGCATGTATGGCCTGCATGTATGTTAAGTCCACCTGTGTCGTGCAGCGCCTGCTGAGGTCAGAAGAGGATGGTTGGATCCCCTGGAACGGGCGTTACAGATGGTTGTTAACTGCCACGTGGTGCTGGGAATTGAACCTGGTTCCTCTGCAAGAGCAGCCAGTTGCTCTTAACTGTTGAGCCATCTCTCCAGCCCATATTATTACTTTTAGCAAGTAGATTTTTAAAATATATTGTGTGCGGTATGCATGTGTGAATGTGAGAGTCTATGTGTGCACATGTGCATGTGGAGACCCAATGTTGACATCAGGTGTCTTTCTAGATCATACTCCACTTTATTTATTGAGGCAAGGTCTCTCACTGAACCTGAAGCTTGTCAATTCCAGCTAGTCTAACCAGCCAGTTTGCCCTGGGGATCTCCTGTCTCCATCTCCTGGGGGCTGGGATTCCATCCAGGTCTTCTCTATGCCTGCCAAACTTTTCTGTGGGGTTTGAAAATAGGAACTCTATTCCTCATGCTTGCATGGCAAGTGCTTTATCCACTGAGTCATCGCGCCAATCCCAAGTGGATTTTTAAAGAAGTTTCTAGAAATTTATTTATCCAGAACAAAGAAAAAGCATTTAAAAAAGTCCTTTGAGAATAAAAAGTGCAAATAGAACCTAACTCCTATAACTCTTAAAACCAGGGGAAAAATTTAGTTAAGATTTAAAATTTGAATGCAAAAAAGCAATGTAAGTAAAAAAAAAAACCCAAAAAACTACAATAGATAATGAGTGTTACTGAAGATCTTTATTTCAGGAAATTTAAAAGTATATTTGACAACAATCAATGTATACTAATGTTAATAAAAAGTGTCCCAAAGAATATGGCTTTCTTACTTTGAAGAAATCTGAAGTTAAATAAGCACGATTTCACATTCCTAGAAAATAATCTGCTCAACTGAGAATGTGCCATTCAAAAAAAATTCATTGTCCCTGTATATCAAGTACTGTTCTAGGTACTGAAGGTAAATCTAGTGAAAGGTAAAATTTCTTAACTGTGTGGAATTTACATTCTAGAAGGAGAAATAATAAAACAAGATAAACCCATGTACCCCCATTTAGCTTATTACATAAACATGATCAATATTGTTGTAACCCTTGTATAAAATGAAAAATGAAAATCTAAGTTCTAAAGAGAAAAAAAAACCCATTATTTTTTTCTTTTTGAGGCAGGGTCTCCCTGTAGTTCCAGCTGGCCTGACACTCCCTATGTAGACGAGGCTGGCCACATCTCAAGAAACCCACCTGCCTCTGCCTCCCTAGTGCTGGGATTAAAAGCATGCAGCACCATGCCTGGTAGAAAAGCACTCTTAAAAACCATTTCTCTTTCTTACTCTCTCATTTATAGGTCATTTGAATGGCAACTCAAATTTGAGCTGAACTCTGATTTTCATCTGGTTTTGACAAGAGAAAGAGAACACACACAAAAAGACTGGTTTAGCCAGCCAAAATTCCAGCACAATGGGGAGAGGGGCTCACAAAATCCCATGTCTAGCTGAGGAGCTATTGGCAGTTGATGGCTGCTGTGAAGAGAATTCATTTTCTTAGATGTGTTCCTTGATAGTCCTATATCACACACATACAGGCAGCAGTAAAGGGTGCCTGTAAACTCTGTGAATTTAAAAAAGAGTGCATGAAGTGGGAGGGAAAAGTGGCTAGAGTATAGAAAGAGTTGGAAGGGTGGGATTTGGGGGTAGACATCATCAAAACATTCATGTATGAAATTCAAAAACAATAAATTTTTTAAAAAAGAACTAGCTTGACATATAATTTGTCAAAATAAAATTTATCAAAATTGCTATTTCATGTCAAATCAATTCCTAAGAAAATAGTTTTACAGGAAAATAGAAAGCTTAGAAATTGTCAAATTAGGCTATAGTTCTACAAAAAGTGGCTGCTTGCTCATGTTGGCCAAATAAATGTAGCCTGGTTAACAGCTAAAGAGAAGAAACCACATAGCATTTATGTGGATTAATTCCTCATATAAGTCTTTTTTTTCCCTTCCTGGCACAATCTACCAGGAGTAATAGGAAGAACCAGAGTTCAACAATAGGGAAATGGATATATTTAATGGACTTTTAAATAAAATAACTAAAGGCATAAATAATGTAGAAAAATAGGTTTATGAACAAATCTAAAAATTAACTTTTTTTTGGGGGGGGCACAAGATGCCTAATAATTCTGGAGTATAAGACAGAACCACAGTATTGTTAACATATTGCTTGCAAGAGTGTACACCTGGAGTAGAAGATTACAGAAAAAACCTAGGGACCACCTTTGAGAAAGAAGTAGAATAAAGCAGGTTAAGGCAGGTGGTAAAGGCAACTGTGATGTTTTAATTTTATTAAAAGAAAAATTTGAAGTAAACATTATTAAATGATTAACTGTCAAGAATTACTAAGACTGTCTAGCCAGGTGTGGTGCATGCCTTTAATCCCAGCACTTGGGAGGCAGAGACAGGTAGATCTTTGTGAATTTGAGGCCAGCCTGGTCTACATAGTGAGTTCTAGGCCTACTACAGGGAGACCCTGTCTCGAAAAGACCCCCACCCCGCAAAAAAAGTTACTAAGTCTGAAGTCTTAGTAGCTAAAGAATGAATGTTCATTATGCTTTTCTGTATCTTTAAAATTTCTTAAAGCAAATTTCTCCACAGCCTCACAAGAATGTATCTTGATTCAGTGCCTACTTAATCATTTCTTAGGATAATTTCAGAAGCTGGTAGGGCCAGCTTTCTAGGCTTTTGAATCAGAAATCAATAAAGCACTCAGGAATTGCTGAGAAACCATTTATACTATACTGTTCCATCCTATACGAGTCCTAAAAGTTATAGAACGTTCTGCAATGTCTTTAAATCTAAATACAGGCTGGCCAAAAGCAGAGGTAAACCAGAGCATCCTGACAATTAGAGAACAATAAATTCTCAAGTTTCTAATACTCACTGAAAGGTTTTTTTTTATAGGCACAATAATTAAATAAGTAGCAAATCTGTATGAAAAGTTTAAAACTGAAGTCTATTCTTGTCTTCAAATTATAATAACATTAAAATAAAAAATTAATTTATTCTCCAAATTTTACCTGTTTCAGCTTCCGATTCTGAGTCATCCTCTTCATCTTCTTCACTAGAGCAGCTTGACTCATCTTTCTTCCCTTCTTCTTCTTCATCAACCTTTTCTTGTTCCAGAGATTCAATACGAGATGCATTTTTCTCTGGCTCAATGATCAACGTTTCTTTGCTGTTGAAAGAAAAACAGTCGTCAAATGATTTTAAACACGAAGGGTTCAAATACATTATTCTCCCTCAGATCCACAAGAGTAGTTTGTGTGGCCATCATGCCAATCCATTCACAACAATAACAAAGCCAAATGGCTTTTAATATTTTACTTACTTTTTAAAGGTCTTCTGTGACTGATTATTTTCCATATTTGCTGTTGACTCAATTAGTGGAGATTTTTTATCCCGTTTTTCACTATGGAGCTTTATCCAAAGTTATGAAAAGGAAAAGAAGGATACTGTTAATATTAATTACAACACTGCAGAGTATTAAAAAAATCAAAGTTTTTTAAACACAACATTATAAAAAGATCTAAGTTTTAATGGCAAAAAAAAAAAAGCTTGAGCAAGGAATTAAAAAACACCGAACAATACAAATAATTAATTCCAAGCAGGAATAAACAGAATATTTCAGTTCTTTTCAACTTTAGCACACCAAAGATAAGGTTCACTATCTATTTAGGATGGGTAACTATATTTTACTTAGAAACAGTCTCTAGCAATATCACTAATTGCTTATTTGGGACATGATATTAGAAGCCTGGAGCTCATAGCCTATACCTTTTAAGCAAATTTTCTTAAGAAACTAGGTAAACATGTTATAGGTATTCATTTCATAAAGGGCAAGAAATAGAACTAAGGCAAGCAACACTGCTAGTTAACTATCACCACCATGTCTATGTCCTATCTGTCATTTAGTTTGATTACTAAGTATAACTTGAAACATCACCAGATTACTTCAACTGTCTGTAATTCAAACCTAATGAGAATTCATTAATATAAGCAATTTTTAGGCAGTCAAACATACCAGATTTTGTTTTTTTTGCAACTCTTCTAGATATCCTAAAATGTCTTCATCTGCTACATCAAAGGCTGTTTGGCCCTAGGCATGAAATGAGAAGTAGTGGAGGTAAAAAGTCAATAAATCATAAAATGCTATCAATAATTCTGAATAATTACACAAAAAACTAGATCACTTGTGTGTGTTAATGTGTGTGGGAGACACATGTGCACACGTATGAGCAGACATGTGAAGACTAGAGGACAATCTCAACTCTGTCCTCCACTCCTTTTTTGGAGACGGTCTCTCACAAGCCTGAAACAAAGTATGCTAGGCTGGCTGGCAAGAAAGCCCCAGGGATCTGCCTGTCTGCCTCCCTCAACACTGGAATATAAAATGCACACAACAATTTCTTTTTTGTGTGGGTTCTCCAAACTGAACTCAGGTCTTAAGTACCCGGTCTTCTGCAAGAAGTCAGTGCTCTTAATCACTGAGCCATCTTTCCAGCCTCCTCCTTCCCACATCTTTTTTTTTTCTTCCTTACCAGGAATTAGGATACTGTCCTATGTCCAGGTATGTGGACTCTAGAGGCTTCCGAGGTCTTTGAGGAAAAAGGAGGCCCCATAAGGCCAAGATAAGATGAAAAGTAAGAAAAGGAGAAAGCAGGAGGGAGAGAC